GGATGGAAAAGATTTAATTGCCTAGTTTTCATTCAGCGAATTAACAGTCTATGGCATGAATTTAAATCTTGTTTTAGATGCATAGTAGAGTTATTTAATTAATAGATTTGACCTATGCATGCTCTAGATTTTAAATTGCTGAAATATTAGTTCTTTTATGCAATTACACGAATAAAGGATTAACTTTAATTGCTGAGATGTTTTACACTATTCTGCAATTAATTGTATAATGGTTTTGAGATGGATTATGATTTTGGATTTTAATTGTTGAAATATTATACACTATTCTGCAATTAACTGGACTATGGTTTTGAACTTTAATTGCTAAAATATTATACATTATTCTGCAATTATCTGGATTTTGGTTTAAACTGGACTGTGGTTTTGGACTTTAATTGCTGAACTGTTATTTAGGTTCTGTAATTTACATGGATGTTGTGGATCGTATGCACCGGTATTGGACGGTGGCATACTAGGGATGGTTCAGCTCAGAAAGTTAAGACCTACCCTATGGGAATAAGGGAATAAATTGTAAACATTGAATCCTACTTATATTAAGGTCAGATCAATTGAGTAAGTTGAGTGACTACATGGATTAACTGTTGATTATAGTTAAGTCATATCAGCTGAATAAGTTGAGTGACTAACTAGATTATAAATTATATGTCAGATCAATGAACAATTGAATGACATACTCTGGTTTTGAACGGACTTTAAATATATGATTATGGTATCACGAGATGAGCGTGAGTCTCAAGCTCATAGATTAGGGTGCGTATATGTAGTGGATGCGAGACTTACTATGATAGGTTGAGGTGTACCCTGTAAGGTCTAGGTACTCATGCCCACCTTTGGGTGCATTTTTGCATGTTGCCTTCTATTCAGGTTAAGACCCCTTTGTAGTCCAGTGAATGTCTCTTAGTGTGGATATATATGTATTTATGGACTGGATAGATATTGTAAGATATCTATGATGTATCTGCGTATCGGGTCACTGTATGGATTGCAGTTAGATTAGAACTTGTTCGTGGGCCTGACCCACTCTTATATTCTTTTCAGGTAGGGGACGGTTCCAGCCTTAGAGCTTGATCGTGCTTATCAGAAACAGTCACTCGTTCATCTGTTTATGTAGGGCTTCTCTCTATGTTTTAGTTTGGGATTTTATTTCCAGTTTTTCATTTCAGTTGGGATTTGGTTTAGGTGTCCACTAGATGGATTCCCGAGTTGTACACTTGGAGGTTTTAAGGAATTGGATTATGATTATCATTTTGAGGATTTTATATTTAATAATTCTTATCAGCGTAATTATTTATTTCCTTTCTTAATTCTTTTTGTAATCTGTATTCATTTATATATTAATTATTTGATATTCCCTCGGGTTTGGGCTTGGGCCTAATCAACCCATGTCTCGAATTTGAGGGGTATCACACTAAATAGTCCACAATCGCCTCGACTAGCGTATGACCCCATCACCTACTTGACAACACACAACAAACAACTCTCAATCTCTAATCCATCCTCAGATCATATCTTAAACCATTCTGCTCATCAGTACCAAACACCACACTATAACACCTCTACTACCACTCATTCCAAACAACAGTTCAAACCTATCATCCCACAGGACCATCAAGCCACTACCAAGGGATTCTTCCTCAAACATCCTTAAGATAATACCATCATAACAAGAGAATAAACATTACTTTCGATACTCCCCACAATAGCCACTATCATCCCGGACCATTATAACAAAAGAACATCCATACGGCAATGCCATGCCGACAAATCCTCAAAACAAAAATAACCACAAAACCCAAAATACTCAACACCCAACATATATCCTTAAAACCATCATCGATATAATCAATCACTAGCGCTTAATCGGTTACTCAAACCACCTTTCCTAAGGTAATCTACATGCCTACACAAAAAAACTGCATGCCCTAGGTTCAACATCATTACCTTTCCTTTTCACCGTTCCTCAGAACACCCTTGGCCCCGAAAAAATTCAAATGGGTCTACCAGCTAAACCTACGAGGTCACCCTCATCCTAAACATTTTAATCAACTATCTATCTCTTCGAATCCTCAAACAACAAGTACCACCTCCTGATACTCTAGATACAACTTGAAATACAACTCCAGTCCGTAACTTTCAAATTCTAAAACACAATTCATTTAGTAACATAGTACCCATCATCTATCACTTAATCTACAAACCATCAAACATTACAATGACCACATACTACTTGCCTTATTGTGCAACCCTACACTACATAGCTAAAACTGACCACAACACACCACCTCGAGACTCTCTCGACAACCGTGATAACCTATAACCTCGCTCATCCACCATGCCATGCAATCAACTCACCGAGAGTCAACTACCCACAACACGCTCCTGTAGCCATTCGAAATGGGGATCACTCATCAACTAACCAGTTTTTAAAACAGACTTTTACAAGCCATTAACTGAATCAAATCAAACGGTCGATCACACAACACTGGCATGACTCTAGTCAATGCCTATATCACCCTAGACTTACAGAGTCCAACAAGTCCCCTTAACAATCATAACCAACACGCTACCCTAGATCGTACCAGAATACCCAAAATACACGTCTACAACCCATAAACTACACTCATAACTCAAAAAACCTCTATCACACCCATCACAAACTGATTCGAAGAGAACCTCAGTACTAAACCATAACCGAAGTCACAAACACTAACCCCTAAAAGACATACATGCCTCACTAAAACCTCACATCGTACACTTGGCCTCCACGATCACAAGAACCTACGCGCTAACACATGAAACTCATACGTCCCACCGTAGACATCGCACTGTGCCATACGCAATCGTTCGAAAGTCGTGCCCCAAGCACTACGCCTAAAAAACAATGAGAAAACTGAAGCAACCATGCTTTGAATAACTCGATCCACGAGTTAAAGACCTACGCCATTCGTTCGATAAGAACCGGCACCCAAACAGCCCTAGAGCAACCGAGCTCCTTGCCTACTCAGGTCAAAACTCACATAACCATCTATGCCGCAACAAGTACTCTACCGTATGCATATACATGAATACATATATATAATAACCGTACCCTATGATTGTCATCTTATCATAATTAATATGTTTTCAGACCACGTATACACTTCATTTACATATACTGGCATTTAAACACGTAAGCACTTAGCAAATAGGCATGCCATTCAAAACATCAAACATTTAAACAGGTAACAAGTAAGCATACTTTTTAAATAGTTAAATACTTTAACACATAGGCACATAAACGATGCAAATCAACTCTCTACCCCATCTAGGTAAGCCACTACCCGTCGTCCGAAAGGTATTTTAACCTAATGCTCTTATACCAAATTTGTAACGACCCAAACCCAGGGGTCCGAATCGCTAACCTGGTCCTTACCCGAACCCGAGGTCATCTAAGGGCATTATGGTGAATTCCAATGTCAATACACAATATATGTGCCATTCCAAGGCTTATACAAAAAAAATGAGATCATACCTACAAAATATGTCAAAATAGTCCACTAAACCATCTAAACTTGTGGAGGAACGTCATCTACCACTTCCTTCTCGTATCCTGAAAATGATAATAATAAGGGGTGAGCAGAACGGCTCAGTAGAAGTCGCCTAAGGTGTTAGCTTTGGACTTCCTTGAGCCACGTAACACACAATGGGACAAAAGATATCGGGATCATGCATGTATTGGGAGTTCACATAACATTTACACCACAACAAACATTATCCTCAGTCACACAATGCAATTCTACAATGACGTGCATAATATGAAATGTAATGCACCCTGTTCCATACTTGGTCTCTACCGACCCACTTTCCACTCTTTGAAAATAACTAACTGACTTTACCAAGGCGAGATTGATAGCTATCCCCAATTCCAATTCTGACAAGGCCTGGCAACTGTTTCGGGCCTAGTATCAACTTCTTCACGCCCTACACCGGGCTGCTCTCCCTCTAGGTCAAGCTAGCCCTGGACTTGCAAAATCCGGTCCATTTTAAAAAAACTTTCCATTTCAAATAATAAAATTTCTTTTGCAAAACTTCCTTTCTCAAAACCCTTTTCAAAATTTCCTTTCTTGCCATGTCATGCAATTTACCATGTTATGTCCTCTAAACAACAATCTCATCACAACAATAATGATATCAGCACGATAATTACAACTCAATGGACATAAACAAGGCATTCCATAATAAACAATTATGATCATAGCATGCTTTAAAATATAATACAACAATAGCATATTTCACTACACCATTTCAAGTAAAGCACCTTTCTCCAGAATTAACTATAAGCATGCTTCATACAAAATCATAATAATTCACATCATACTTTTAACACATAAGAAAACAAATCATGCTTTAAACATTTAATCACGTTACTAATATACACATACAACAATTTCAGTTCATAGTCCTTGAATTTACACTACTTGATGAAGAGAAAGTAGAATTTGCTCAAATAAAAGGCAAAGCTTGAGGCATTAGGAAGACCCCTAACTCAAACTCAAAGGTAGCCAAAATGCATCCTCAGCCGAAAAAGTCAACACCGGTCAAAGCCGGTCAACGGCGGCGGAATGAAAAACTGTTATATGGGAACATAGCCGAGGACAAGGAGATTCTACTGTTCAAAGGCGTTTCTCCGGAATCTAACTCGAAGTGGCCCAAAACCTCTTCCGAAGTCTAAGATCCAAAAACTTCAAAAATTCGTAAAATAATCACCGCGCCTCCGAAAATTAAATTCGGTGACTGTGTGATAGAGAACGACGAGAGAAATATTTTCCATCAAGGAACCAAGACCGGAAACCCGACCGATTGATCGGAAAATGGAGAAGAAACTTGAAGCTTAAAAGGGAAAGAAAAAGATAATAAAGCAAGAGAGAGAGCTGGAGACTCACGCGGAGAAGAAAGGAAAAAAAGATGGTCAGACAATGACCATGTGGTCATTTAAAAAGACCACATTTAAAAAGACCACCACCAACTGCGGGTCTCACGTGCTAATAAAATGACCATTTCGTCCTCTTAAGCATATATACACACACTAAAAACACTATAACCACACGTCTCTTGGCACGTAGTCACCCAAACATGCACCAAATAAATAAATATGAAGTCTAACGACAACAAAATAAAATAATCCTGTGCATAAAAAAATCTGAGTGCGGGTTCCGCTCGGGACCTCCCGACACGAAAATCTGAAAAATACCAAAATGGCCAACAATACATTTCTAAAATTTCTAAACTCGAAGAAATGCCCAAACAAACTCTTGTGACTCACCCGGCACACCCCACGGTGTCCGGCACGCAAAACGAGGTACGAAAAGAAAAATCCCCAAAAAATAAAAATAAAAAATTCCCCAAAATGGAAAATAAGGAAAATCAAAAACAATGGTCCTCGGACCATCTAAAATTTCTCAAAAAAAGTTGGATTGTTTTTTCTATTGTAGCATTTTATTATTATTATTATTATTTTTGTTTCCTCTAGTTCCTCTTAAAAGTTTGAGACTTCAGAAAGAGAGGCTATATCATCCCTCCCTACATAATTTTATGGAATTGTACAATGTTTGTTCAAAAGGGAACACTATGACTATGTTGCATATTTGTGATTATAGTGCTTGAGTTCATTTTCAAGTGATTGTTGAAACTTCAATCCCTTGAATCAGGTGCCTATAAGTGAGACAGCAGGAACCATATAGTTTTGAATTTTGAATCTAATCATGCAAACAATAACAATGACACAACCACAGCACACAATGCAGCCTCAAATAAACAATCTGCAATGAATAGCTGCAAGAGAGAACAAGTCTTTTTTCTTCATTTAGGAGCCATGTTAGATGAATGTCTCATGCATTGAATGAGAGAGAAGTGAGAAATCATTTTTGTTTTTTTTTTTTTTTTGGGAGTTGAGTAACTTGTGTTCCATTGTTCAAATATGAATCAGAAGACAAAAGCTTTCTTCTAACATCATACTATAAGAATATTAATATCAAACACTAGTTTCTTCAGATTTCATTTGTTCCATGGCCATATCTAGGGTGTTGTCACCGGTCCCTTTATACTTATACCAGTTAGCACAAACTAGAAAGTATCCCAAATTCAAGACCTCCAAAGCAGTAATAAGGTAATAGAAGTAATCCAATCTCCCCCTGTTAAGATCTTCAGCCAACCAGTTTCCTGATGATGATCCATCTGTCGTACTGTGAACTACTGAGACCAAGAAACTACTCAAATAACTTGACCCTGCAAAGCCACAGAACAAGAATGACCCTGCAAAGCTTCTCATGTTTTCTGGGAACTGCTTGTAGTAAAATTCAACTTGGCCTATGACCGTAAAAGCTTCAGAAATTCCAACTAATGTCAATTGAGGTACAAACCACAATCCTGACATGGAAGAAATGGCACCTTTTCTTGGGACTGTCCCTAATGTTGGCTTAGTAAGAGCCAATGTCCTCCTTTTCTCTTCAACTAAGGCAGATATAACCATAGTGAGAACTGATAGAACCAAGCCAACACCCATCTTCTGGAGGATTGTGATACCATCTTCCTTTTTGGTGAGTCTTCGAAGCAATGGGACTATGATCCTGTCATAGATGGGTATCCAGATAGTGAGGCTCAACATGGAGAAGACAACGTAGGATGCGGCTGGGATCGTGAAATTGACGTTGCCTAATCGCCTATCACTTTGGATTGCCTGGAAGACTAGGTAGGTTTGCTGTTGGACCAAGACAACATTGTAGACAAGGCCTGCAAACCATATGGGAATCACTCTCAATAGGCATTTTACCTCTTCAGCTTTCTGGATACTGCAAAGTCTCCATGGTTCAGCTGCTGATCCATCTGAGTTGATTTGGTCTTCGGGGGTAATGATGGCTGCTTTGTTGAGAAATCTGAACCAACATCATTTTATTTAGTTAATTATCGAGCAGTGTCTGGTTAAATTTAGTTAAATTATCGAACAGTTTTCTTCCATAATGCCCATTATCCACCATTGATTCACCCTATATATGCAGCATAGTGGGGAGAGGTTCAATGGAATTTCAGATGGGCATCCACATACTCGTTTTGTCATTGTTCTAAGTGAAAGAAGGCTTAGGAGATCAACAATTTAAGCAAGGTCCTGTCTAGAGTTTTCTATTGAAAAATATCTTGGTTCATGAGTCATCTGGATGGGGTGTGGAATGAAAAATGGCATAGAAAATGGAAGTAGGAAACATGGAGAGAGAGTAATTTAAGTACCGATAAACTTATTTGAATATGAAATCTACAGACAACTATTATTTGATTTCTAACAATCTAAAGGATAATAAGACTGTAGACCATATGGTAGTGTCAGTTAACCAAAGCACCATGCAAAATCATGAAGTTGAATTCAATATTCGAGTATAATTTGTAATTGTCAGCTATAAATTGATTACCTGTTTATAACTTTCTATTGATTGCTAGTTTAGATTTCTGAGTGTCCTTCTCTAGGACTTTGGTTGTTTTGATGTGGGTATGCCCTCATTTGCTTCTTTGTACTATTCGATCTGTTTATATTCAATATACTCCATTCATTTAGGAAAAAAAAATTGATTACCTGAACTGATCTGTGTAAGGAAGCTTTGCATTGATATAATTGATGGTCATATGATTGAAAAGGGAAAGCCATGGTTGCTCTGGCAACTTTAGTTGCCTCTTCCTGATTGCAGCCACTATGACTTGCACCACGCCTGTCAAAGGACTACCTTGCGGTAACACTATGACATAAATTCTCGTACCAATGAAGAAGAACGCGCATGACAAGAACATCAGAAAAGTTGGAATGGCTAATCCCAGAGACCAACTCACATCAGATTGCACATAAACAATGACTGTCAATGATACCATCATCGCGAAAGTGAAGGTGAAATAGTACCAATTGAAGAAGCTGCTGATTCCCCTCTTCCCGGATTCAGTTTTGGGATTGAATTGGTCTGCTCCAAAGGCCAAGTTACACGGCCTTATGCCACTGGCGCCTACTATTAGTAGTCCGAATGAGCTTAGTAGGAAAGTCATTTGCCATGGTGTTGGATCAATGCATGTGCTACTTTCTTCCTTTCCACATTGAGGAGGATGTAGCTTTGAGATTGCTGCTGTTAGTGTTAGCACAAACATCCCCTGTAGTAGATTAAAAGATGATTTAGATCCTGTTATACAAGTGAAGGACTTGAGTTCATTGAAAGAAAGAATAGGAGCCTGTTTGGTTCAGTTTTCAAAATACATTTCTCAAGAAATTAGAAAACAGAAAACTATTTTAAGAGAATTATAAAAGAACGCTCTTTGAAAATAGACATTTTTTTAACTGTGAAAAAAACTGCAATCAAACAAGTTTCTGTATAGTTTTCTAATAAAACTGAACCAAGCTGGCCATGGAATTAAAGCTTATTCAATTGAAGTATACACTATTTGAAGTTAGAAGCTCTGTGACGACAAGCCTTATCCGAATATATGACAAGTTTATGATATAGTTATGACAAGTTTATGATATAGTTTAGATATAGATGTCTATAGTTACTGCCAAATTTGAGCAAAACAAATTGTGGGTAGTAGTAGTGGTACCAAGAAAGAGGATATGGAAGCAAATCCCAAAGTTTTGTATCTGCCAAAATAGGTGTCTGAGAGGAAAGCTCCCAGCAAGGTACCGAAGTTGCAAGTACCATTGAAGATGTTGATGAGATTTGTTGCTGTAATGGATTTCATGTTGAAGACAGTAGTAAGATAGACCAGGAGGTTGGATGATGTGCCAAGCGTCCCCAGCTTCTCAAAGGTCTCATTTCCTGCAATTATGCGACATTAGTTAGTAGAAATTGGAGAAGAGAGAGAGAGAGGTTCTTTCTCTGCCATTATTTGCGAACTCTTGTGTTCATGTATTACCTATGACAAAGGGCATGGCTTTAACACCTCTGTACTTGGGCTCAATGCTAGTAGCCACTTTCTCATTCTTTTCCATGGTTTCTCAAAGAATAATTATTTTGTTCTATCTTCTCCTCTTGCTTATAATAAGTATTAAGGAGAAGAAGAGAGTGAATTATTTATATATACTTGTCGAAGCTTATCCTCTGGTGGAGGTCATTCCGGGGTGGTGTCCACTCTCCCTTCAGAAGTAACCTCCACCCTCTCCAGTGCATTGAACCGTCCCGTGTGAATTCATACTTGATACTTTTTTCAGATCTTTCTCACTAGTGAATCACTACGACAACGATCTCCAAGATTTTTCAACATTTAACTGGTGTTGGAAGTCCGCAATTGTGACTGGTTGCACTTGCAAACAAAATGTTCGCAAAGGCGAAGGGATGTTTAGTTACAACTTGGAAAGACAGCAAAGGGATGTGTCATGCATGTGTCACTCACTGTATATACCCATGCTTCACTATTGATTTTTCAGTTCTCTCATTTGGCAATATGCAAGCTGCGCATATCAACAAAATTAGGTCCTCCTCATGGTTTTAGTACTCAAATACAAGACCATTGCTTATCGTTTAGTTTATGCAACTACTCAAATGCATCATCACCTTTTAAGCAAAAAGTACTCGTATACATTGCTTAGATTTTTGGTAATGATGTTCAAATTTCAATCCCTGGAATCAGAACACCAAAATGACACTTCTAGGGGGCAAAAAAAAAAAGGCATGATTTTAGATTTTGAGACTTTTTGTGCAACTATATGGATAATGATGAGACCATATGGTCTCACTTTGTCTATTTCAGTAGAGTATAATATCATCCCCATATCGTAGATATGCTGACCGAATATGTAGGAACAAATTTCTAGTCTTTTCAGTCATTCGAGTGCATAATATATATATATATATTACCCATATTGAGGCATGTGCATTTTGAATTGGCAACTTGCTTGACTCACGTCTTTAATGCCGTAAGCAATAAATCACCCATATCTTCTAAATAGGAATCATTGTTTGATGCAATGTCTCTGTCTTTGATTTTTTTGCCCACAAAATAGGAATCATTGTTTGATGCAATGTCTCTGTCGTTGATTTTTTTTTTTTTTTTTTTTTTTTGTTATTGTAGGGTTTTTTATTTTAAAATACAAGAAAGAGATTACTAGCTATTGGTGGTTTTGAATCAATACTAGCTATTGGTGGTTTTGAATCAATTAGTATATACAAGGACGGATGAGTAAAAAAATCACCAACCCGAAAAATTAAATCTGACGGAATCGGACAGTCTGAGCCGGTTTCATAGCGTTTCGATCCGCTTACAGATTTAAAATAATGGAACCATGAATTTTTTGTTTGATTTTGGATTGGGGTCGACCGAATCGGTCTAGACCGAACCATTATAATTAGGATCCACTCGTTCATGAGAAATAACCTCCACTCTATTCGGTGTACTAAACCGTCCCAAATCTATACATGGCACATTTTTAGATCTCTCATTATTGCGTACTCTCTCTCTCTCTCTCTCCAAGATTTTTGAACTTTCAGCTGGTGTAGGAAGTGGACAATTGTGACTGGTTACACTTGCAAACAAAATATTTGCGATTGAGAGGTTTGACTTTGCTTGGCATGCTCAACTTGGATGTTTAGTTACAAGTTAGAAAGACAGCAAAGGGATGTGTCATGTGTAACTCACAGTAAATACCCTTCACTGTTGATTTTTCAGTTCTCTCATTTGGCAATATGCAAGCTGTGTGCATATCAACAAAATTAGGTCCTTGTCATGGTTTTAGTACTCAAATACAAGACCATTTCTTATAGTTTAGTTTATGCAACTACTCAAACGGAGGCAGAGCCAGGATTTGAAAATAGGGGGAGCTAAAGAAAAAATTCAAGCAGAAAATTTACTGAAAAAAAATAAATAAATAAATAAATTTAAGCAAAGAAGATGAAAACACCAAAAATAATACCACCAGCCCCTAGGTCTTCTTCAATCTTCTAATTCTAATTTGTTTGTAGGCTTGTTTTCTAAGCTGGGTTATTTATTATTTATGTTTTATTATGAATTGGATAACTTGGGCTGGACTGGTCTGGGCTATCACTAGTAAGAAATAGTAGTACTAATTATTATTTCAGACTCTCCGCCCCTGTACTCAAATACATTGGATTACCGAAAAAAATAAAATAAAATGTACTCAAATACATTGCTTAGTTTTCTGGTTATGATGTTGAAATTTCAACCCCTTCAATTAGAATACCAAAATGACACTTTTCCGGAAGAAATAAAAAAGCACCAAAGCCATGATTTTAGATTTTGAGACTATTTTTTGCGCAACTATGGATAATGACATGACCATTATTGGTCTCACTTTTTTTATTTCAATATGGTAAATACCTTCCCGTATAAGTTTGCTGACCTAATATGCAGAAACGAAATTTTAGTTTTTTCAGTAACCATTTCTTATAGTTTAGTTTATGCAACTACTCAAATACATCTCCTTTTAAGCAAAAAGTACTCGAATACATTGCTTAGATTTTTGGTAATGATGTTGAAATTTCAATCCCTTGAATCAGAACACCAAAATGACACTTCTAGGAAGAAAAAAAAAATTCTAGTCTTTCCAGTAACAATTCGAGTCGCATAATAGATTACCCAAATTGAGGCATTTGCATTTTGAATTGGCAACTTGCTTGACTCATGTCTTTAGTGCAGTAGTCAATCTGTTGCTAAGATAGGTATGGTTTTTCAGTTGAGATCTAAGTTATACAATTTTTCTAAATTAGTTGGACTCTGCTCTCTCATGTTCTTATATTGCTCTTACACAGTGTGACTAAAATTTTATTGCTTTCATGTTCTTGCTCTTCGCCTGTGTGACTAATAGTCATCTTTAATTTTTTTTATGAAAATAGATTTTTCCTGAAAATTTTGTCTTTGATTTTTATGCCCACAAAATAGGAATCATTGTTTGATGCAATGTCTTATCTTTGATTTTTTTTTTTTTTTTTTTTTGTGGAAAAAATCATTGTTCGGTTTTTATTTTAAAATGCAAGAGATAGATCTCGGTGGTTTTGAGGGTGCAAATTTAAATACAGAGAACCATCATTTTTTTCAATTTAATCCAAAAATTTAGGGTTTCCTCTGATTTTTTCTCCTGTACTTAACCTTGCATACATGGAGCCAATTATGGGTAATACCATTTAACAAAGCAAATTAATTAACAACCAAAAAATATATATAAATAAATCAATGAATCAACAAATGAATAATCATGTCGGTTGAGCAAATTAACAACCAAAAAAATATATAAATAAATAAATCAATCAATCAGTCAACAAATGAATAATCATGTCTGTTGTTCTCAGTGCATACTTCTTATCACATACTTCATCCAGTACTGATGGTAACATGTTTACTTTTGATTTATTAAACGAATTGCACATACAATTCATTTAATAAATCAAAAAACGTTCCAATCTTTGCTTTAACAATGTCATCTGATGGATTTGGGTTTTTCAGGTTATGTATTTACATGGAATAATCAGCGTGTTAGGCCGGAGCGATTGGATAAAGCTTTGGTCACTGGTGAGTGGTGCTCTGCTTCAGTGTCCCATCTTACCATGGCAAGCTCTGATCATCATGCAATTTCTCTTAAGTTTTTATCCAGCTGCTCTCAAGGCAAAACGTTAATTTCATTTTGATGCGCGATGGGTTGTTGATGACAAATGCTTGAATATTATTAGGAATACCGGGGGTAAACCAATCCCTGGATCTCGTCAATTTTGTTGTATAAATTACACCATCTCCAATGCAAAATGCTATTTCCAATGCAAAATGCTATTTTTGTATATCAAATCTATATTTTGAAAGGTGTTACAGTGTCAAAATGCTATATTTTAGCAATTCTGCTCTAATAGTAAATTTCATCCAAAATGATATTTTTTTGATACAATGACCATTTTTTTTCAACTACCCTTCCCATCATTCATATTTGCATCAATAATTAAGGAGTATCTTACAAAGCCTAGATGTAGATATTAAAAGGAAACTAAAATTAAACCTAATTAAACCTCAAATGAACAAGGGTCTGTGAACAAAAATGAAAATTTGGCTACTGGTTCGTGTGTGATAACTAGTTATTTCAATTTCCTTAAAGAAATCCTATCAAATGGCAATCTTCATAAAAGAAGGAAATCCTCTTACAGATTCAGAATAGCAAACCAGTATATATGTTCAAGATGGCAAGTGGATTATGTAAAAGCTCCACAAACTACAAATATATATATACATACATACAGACACATTTATAAAAAATCACATGCATTTTAGTAAGAAATGAGATATTTCTTCGTCATTCTAAGAACAACAAATCCAGAATTAGGCAACAAAACCGAGATCAAGCTAAATGATATTGAAATAACCACGGAATAGTCAACACATTCCAATTAGAAAGGCATAACAAACCTCATTTCAAAACAATCCAGATCAGAAGTCACTAAAACACAGAATAGATCGAAATCACAAACTTGCACCGTCTCAGGTAAACGAATAGGATTGAGGGTGAGAGACGGATAGGATTGAGGGTCAAAGAGACAAAACGGCATGAACGTGAGTCTCTCTTGTCAAGGGGTAGCGCCCACCTACGCTTCTCTTTCTCTATTCTCGGTGTTCTCCGTCGCAGGTAAACGAATCCTTCTCTCCGGGATTCCTCTCCATAGTCAAGGAAATGTCGTTCTCTTTCTTACAACAATAGCATTTGGCAGCTGCTATATTTTGTGTTATATTTGGGAGAATATTTGAGAATCTCATTTTGACAGCCTATTTGAGAGCCCATTGGATAGCCCATTCTAAACCCACCTCTTATATTTTGAGATTGAGAGCTGATTTGACAATCCATTGGAGTTGTTCTAATTGACTGGGCTTGCACTTAACAAAATTCTAAAATTAGAATTGGTCAAGTTGAATCTTATCCTCGCTCTCTAAAGCAAAGAACAGCGAATTATAATCATTCTATGGTTCTTTAGGCTCAGCTAGTTGGAGGAGGAGATATATTGGAAACAAAAATCTCAGAATCAATGGTTACAGCTTGGTGATAAAAATACTAGATTTTTTCATACAGCGACACGCCAAAGAAGAGCTCGGAATTATATTTCTGGGGTGATGGATGAACTGGGTGTATGGTGTGAAGATGAAAGCAAAATTCAAGATATTTTTCTTCGCTATTTTCAGCTACTCTTTCAGTCCCGGAACCCATCTAATGTTGATCAATTTCTGCGCCATATTCCTTGTCATATTTCTCCAGATATGAATCAATCTTTACTGGGACGTGATTAAATCAGATGTTGTGGCGGTTGTTTCCAGTTTTTTCCAAACCGGGTATATGTTTTCCTGTCTTAATCATACTAATATATTTTTATTCCTAAAACTGAGTCTCCTACTT